GAGCCATAATAGGATGCTTATATTTGAATTCACTGACCATTTCATGCCCCATGATAATAGCATCCTGAATTTTTCTACCTTGTATAAAGGCATTCTGCTCCAAACCAATTAATTTAGTCAAAACCAGAGAAAGCCTTACAGCCAAAATCTTAGAAATGAATTTGTAAACTAAGTTACAAAGAGCTATAGGCCTATAGTCTTTTGGCTTAACAGCATTACCTACTTTGGGAATCAAAGTAAGAAAGGAGCTACTCACCCCTGTAGGCAGATTTCCTGAACTAAAAAAGTGATGAACAGCTGCACACACTTCAGTCTCCACAATGGACCAAAAAGATTGAAAAAATCGAGCAGGAAAGCCATCTGGACCTGGAGCCTTATCAGGTTTGAAATTCATAACAACATCTTTAATTTCCTCATTAGATATAGGGGCATCCAAAACCAATTGATCTTCAGCTGATAACAAATACCTAGTTTGAATATCAAATGGACTATCAACCTCTGCACCTTGGTAAATATCTTGATAATAATCCACAAAAGTTTTACTAACCACAGATGGATCTGTAGAAACATGGCCAGTATCAGTTTCAATAGATGTAATAGCATTGAATTGTTGATGCTGTCTCAACTTAGGATAAAACAAACCAGAATATCTATCATTCTCCTTTAACCACAAAATCCTTTGACTTCTGCGCATATAGAATCTCCTGAGATGACAGCATCCTGATAGATGTCTCTAGCTTTTTGCTCTTCATTAAATAAGACATCTGTAGGGGAAGTTAAGAGGTCCACTTGTATATCTTCCAAATGCTGCTTTGATTGAATAACCTTCTCTGCAATATCTCCAACTGTAGTCTTGTTCCAATACTTTATAGCTGCCTTAAACATTTCTCAACTTTTTGAGCAATATATGAATTGGATTCCCTGAAACCTCATCATCCCAAGCTTTTTGAATCACTTCCACAATACCCTCTTGCAAACACCAGATTTTTAACATTTTGAATGGCTTAGGACCACTAGCAAATTGTTTAAAGATGTTGATAATGACCCCATAATGATCAGAAGAAGTAGAAGCTGAGTAAGACATTTTAGTACCTGTGAAAAGCTGAAGCCAAGCATCATTTGTAAAAACCCTATCAATTTTAGCTAGAATTCTTCTATCTTTTCTCTGTCTATTACACCAAGTCCACTCTCCATTAGAAGCAGTTAATTCCACCAGGCCTGCTTTCTGAAGGCTTTCATTAAAATCATCAAGGAGTATTTGAGGAACTGTATGCCCTCCCTTTTTATCAGAGTGGTATCTAGTAGCTTTCCAATCACCAACCAACCAACCAAGGACCAGTAACCATTGTAGCTTGCATAATCAAATGATCCCACAATATTCTCCTAACTGTAACATAATTTGAGGCATACACTAGAGTACAAAAAATTACCTCTCCAGTCTGGATTATATGAACTTGCAAAAGAATACTTTGATCCATTTTGAAAGCACAGCAACTGAGAACATTATCGGATCCCAACCTATCCATAACTTGCCTAAGTCATAAGAATTATAATTGTGAAGCCAATTCCAAGATTTGTTAATTTTTCTGGAAATAGAATCAAATTTAGGCCTTCTCACCCTAGTCTCTTGTAAACAGACAAAATGAGCATCATTTGATTTAATCCATTGCCTCACCTCTTTTTGCCTTCTAGGCTTATTCAAGCCTCTCACATTCCAAGAACAAATCATTTAGAATTTGGAGGATGGGAAGCACCCCCTTTACTTCTAGCTCTAGAAGTAGCCAACGACCCTGTAGTATTCTTGTTCTTAATAATAGAAGGCTTTAAATCAACTTGAGAAGCAGCCTCTTCAGAGATATTAATCACTTCTTTCTCCTTAGGATCACCACAATCATCGACTTTTGCCTTATTATACCTTGCTTTCCCTGAATTAGCAGTAGTAGAGCTACCATATTCAACCCTTTCAATCAATACAGCACACTTATCAGCCTCACTCACAGTACCTTCTTCTATTAAGGAAATATTACCCTTATGTGAAATGAGTTTGGTTTTCCCTGAGATTTTGGCAATTTCAGAATCTGCAAAATCAACCTTGCCAGAACCTCTTACAACTCCTTCATCTGTCAAATTGTTCTTCTGCTGTATTTTACCAACATCAACCCCTACTGCACTTGTAGTAAGAACAACCTTGTCATTCAGGAAGAAAAAAAAAAAAAAAAAAAAAAGAACAACCTTGTCATCCCCTTTCACAGCTCCTTCTTCTGGCAAAGAAATATTAGACTGTTGTAAATGAATTGAGGTGGGAATTGCCTTCAATTCTAAAGGATTCTCAGCCCTAGTATGAAGCTGTATTTCTTCCACCACTTCTTCTTGTGATGGAATGTGGGCAAAATTGGCCTCCAAATCCATTGTAACCGCAGCCCTAGTCTCTGATATAACCTCCACCTGATCATCTTCTTGTTCTATGGTCAATAGCTGGAAGGTGTTTGTAGTAACAAGTGGTTCAACAACATTTATCAAGGATTCCTTATGAACCATTTCTTCAAACACAATGGCTTCATCACAATTGACCAGTTTGCCTTGTTGCTTTACCGTCCACTTTTCTACAACTTTTTTAGGTTTAGCTTGTATAACATTTTGTGGACATTTTTCCTTGACGTGATCCACTCTTTGACAGAGAGTACAAATCTGAGGCTTCCATTCATATTCTAACTCAAGAACACAGTCAACCCCATGTATATCCACTGCCATTGAATCAGGAAGTTCTTCCTTTACATCGACCTCAACCATTACACGTAGATACCTTCCTTTGTCTGTATTGGATTCTGAAACATCCATGTAGATCGGCTTACCAAAGGAAGAACATATCATAGAAACCACTTGCTGTTTTCTACAATGAACTGGAAGATCGTAAATTCTCATCCACACTGGAACAGATTCCAAAACCTCCTTTACAAGATTAACATTCTTGCTCCATTTCTTAAGAATAATGGGTCGACCCTTAAATGTATGGATGCGAGATAACACCTTTATAACATCTAAATCATCATGAAATCAAACCAAAAAGAACCGTCCTTCAAGTAAACCAAAGAAAAATTCTTGGACCATCGTTTCTCCACAAATGACTTAAAAATAGTGATAGTACGGCTTCTTTCCCATCACATATCCTACAACAGAAGAAGACCAGAACTTGATTTCATCAGCAACATCATCTTCAGAGATAGAAACTTTCTTCCCATGTATATTGCTATGGTACGTTAAGTTCTTGAAATCGGATGCCGTTTCAGAGAAGAAACGACACCAAGAGGTGGTAGGGCTTGTAGTCCGGTTTAGAGAACCCACTGGCAGTAGAGGGGAGGAGGATTGGCCCTCCTCCATCCCTGTGATCGACGTCCCGGCCACCTAGGTTGAAAAACCCTAATTCGCCTTTTTTGAGAGAATAAGGGTAAAAAAGTCATGCAACTATCAAGTCACTGTGATGTAAAAAAAGGGATAAAATATCAATTATTAATATAAAATATTTGTGGTTTTGCAATGCATCAACTATATCTAACTACTTCCACCTCTCTCTCTCTCTCTCACCCAACCACCCACACACGCAAAACAAAAAAGACAACAAATTGTATGGTTGCTTGAGTTAAATCCTATGGAGTTGTTAAGAGTCCATTCTGGATTGTGTAGTGTGTGTTAGGACTTAGTGTTGGCAAATTTCGTAGAAAAGCCTTAATCAAGTTGCGATATCTTAAATATTTATTATATGGTTAATTATTTTTGTTTAATTATTTCTGTTTAATGGGTTGGTTTGGAATTAATTTAAATAATTATTCCTTTTTTTTTATAGTTGGTACTCACTAAATTGTGTAAAGATATGGTACACCTTGAAGGACAGAAATAATTTGACTAGGAATAGTGGAGGAGGAAAGCATGGAGGACATGTGTCCATCTAATGCAAAGGGATAGAAGACACGTATGGGCCAAGTCCCTATACATCTGTACTGTTTTAGGAAATGTGAAAAGAAAAGAGGGAGAGAGGAAACAAAAGAAAGAACAGAAGAGAAAAAGAGAGATCTGGCCGTGAGTTTAGAGAGGGAAAGAGAGAGAAAGGAAGAGGAGGAGAAGAAGTGGAGTGAGAAGCAAGGGAACTGTAGGATCATCACTAAACTTGTGTGTTAGGTAGGGAAATCTGACTCTTCTATTGTGGGTGCTTTTCCATTCTTGTGAAATTGATTTGATCTTTCTCTAAATTGTTCCAAACCTGATTTATTTTCTCTGCATGTTTAAAGAGGAATGTTTAGATTATTGAATTGTTGTTCATATATCTTGCATTTGATTTATAGCATTTTTCTTGAAAATTGTGTTTAAAAAATTTGGTTTTAGCTTAAAAGGTTGGATCTTTAACGGGAAAAAAATGCTTCATCTCTATGTTCTGTTTTGGGGTTTCAAACCAGGGAATGGACCATTAACTGTTTGACATAATTGTATTTAGAATTGAAATTCTACATTGATAAAATTATTGTTTTGCTGGGAATTAAACTGAGAGGATGTTGATGAATGCATTGAATCAAAAATCATAAGGCTGCGGTCCTAGGGTGAAATCCGTAAAGAGATAAGTGGGGTATGAGTTACCCAAGGGTGAAAGACCTGAAACCCGCGTGGTAGACCCTTGTTTGGGTATTGAGAGTTGGGGCCACTCTGGTGCGAAAGTTTGGCTGGTGTGTACCTCTCGGAGGACCACGATGTGTCTGATAAAATGCATTTACTGATGGAAAATTTAAGATGGAATTTAACAAGCAAGGATTTTACAATTATATAAGTCTCGTGTTTTTTTTGAACTTGTATCTCAAAGTTGTGTGTTTTCAGTTTAAAAGCCTTTTGGAATTGTTTATGTTTTGCAACAATGGTTCATTCTCTTTTATTTTACTCATGTAGCATTCGAACCCCATTATAGTAATTGTTAAGACTTCTCTACTGGGCATCGTCTCACTCCTTAATAATTTCAGGTGTTGAGATGCGCGTGTGGTGATCATCTTGGTGCTATGTGAAGATTTAAATCTTGTTGATGGAATGCTGCTTTTGATGATAATGCCCAGCTACTGGTTTACAAGGTGCCTTGTTTGTCTTATTGATGAATCAGATCTTGTGTTGCAAGTATAGGAAAAATCAGGTTATGGTACGATGCATGGTCGGATTTTACCAGTGTAGAATCTTATCTGTTTTGGGAACTCTTAAAATGTCTAGTATTTGTATGCCAATGATCTATACCATGTATGTTATGGAGAAGCCAGTTATACTTTTATTCATGTATAGTTGATGAAGTTTTTAGGTTTTTCTTAATTGTGCTTGGCATTTGAAAACTAACTTGTGAGTAAATCAAATAAACTTGTCTATTGGTGGCATATGGTTTGTCTGAACTAGAGATGATAATTGAGGTGTTGAAAAAGAAGAGTTATTGTTGCGGTTGGAATATTTTCATATTTTTACTAATTTTGTGACATCGGAAAATTATAAAAATTTCCAGATTTGAAGCTCCTTGTGTCTAGTTTCTAAAAACCTAAAAGCACTGAGATTTTATTATCACTCTAAATATTCCAGAGGACCAAATTCCGTTGACTGTTTTATTTTCAGCCTATGTTTTTTCCACTGAAGCAGGTCAATGCATTTGTTTTAGCATTTTGAGTCTAGCTTTAAAGGAATTTTGGTAGACGAGTATTGGATTTTATATGAATTTTTGAAAATTTTCTTCTAAACTTTAGCACCGCTTTTCATTTTAAAACCTTATTATTTTTTGTACTCTTTAGAAAGAGTTGAAGACAAGGCAGGTCCGGAACAACTTGAAAATCAATGCTTAGGTTTCTTTATGATTTTTAGTCACACTTGAACGTTTGTGAAACTCTTATCTTTACGAATTCAGGACTTTAATTTGAAAAAATATATTTGATTTTAATTTGGACAGGTGTAACAAGGGTCATTTTGTCCCACATCGGAATGGGTATAAATGGGTGGGTATGCAGCCTTACCTAATAGTTCGAGCTTTTGGGTAAATGGGTAAGCGCCCACCTGTTACAGTTGGTATCAGAGCCAAACCCAGTCCTTGATCCGGTGCCACGCCAAGCGCCCGGTCCGGAAGGCGTCCGGGTGAGTTCACCCGGGTAGGCAGGGTGGCCCAACCGCAACGAGGGCGTTGCGAGTTTGGGTGGGGGAGAATGTAACAAGGGTCATTTTGTCCCACATCGGAATCGGATGGGAAAGAGATTGGGTATAAATGGGTGGGTATGCAGCCTTACCTAACAGTTCGAGCTTTTAGATAAATGGGCAAGCGCCCACCTGTTACAACATGCCATTATGGATACTGTTGTTTTTGGGGGCTTTTAAAGTTAACAGTTGGTTTTTAGTTTTGAAATGGTTCTCAGTAAGATAAAAAAGTCCAAGATCGGTTCGCAGATTCCCAAAACCAGTTGTCTGGGCTCTTAAAGTTTAAACATGAGCTCCTAAAATCCAATGCCAGTTCCCAATTTGGTAGTCTGTTTAGAAGGCTGCTTTCTGATTGAATAACTCAAGTGATATTATTACCATCAAAACCATCCAAAACGTAATCAATGATTTTTCTGATGAAATTGGGGTTTTATTCTCCTATCTACTAAGCATGTTTTTATGATGTCTTCAATATAGCGAAGGGCATTGAACGATTCTTTAAGAGAGAGAATTATTGGTCTTTGGTGTTTGTGAAAAAGAGAGAGATCTTACTTTGTTGAGCCTGTTTTGCTGTGCAAAATATCAAACTTCAGACGGATAAAGTGCTCAAATTGGGTCCGCCAAAAATTAGCAATGTTGCTCTGAGTACTCACTTTTCCATGCTACAGCTTGTAGTACTGTTATTATACAAATTTTGTTGTGTATCAAATCCATGTCATAGTTCATTTACAGGGAACTAGCCTTATTGTTAGTTTTGGGTCCGCAGTAGCCATGTTATAGTGAAATGTTTGTTTGTCTTTGTTTGGGCTATTTGTGTGATAGAGTTTGTGTGTATTTCAATGAGAATAACTTGGAACATTTGTCACAAATAATCTAGATCTTTGTGAAGCTTAAGCATCAGAAAGGGACAATCATGGCTCTGTTTTATTGGCAGACCAATCCTTCCAGTTAGGTAATGAAGATTGAATCAAAAGGGTCAATTACTTTAGACACATTGCCTTTATCGAATTATAGGTCATTGTGGTAGCTTGAGGGAATATTAAACATATTCTCTCTTTGGAGTTATATTAGGGGGGTGAATTGGTTCTTAATTTAACATCTTTCAATACTTGGAGTGCTTTCAATACTATGCTCAATCAAAAACCTTGGTTTTTGGTCATAGCCAATGTTCTCGAACACAATGGATCCATCTTTATCCAAAACCATACTTATGTTTAGACAACAATTAAAACTGCCTAGATCCTTTAAATCTTTTCCGCCTAAAGAAATAAGGGGACATTCATCTCCCAATTTTTGGTCAAAAACCCTGAGAGTGCTTCGAGGGGCCAACGATGATGACCGTCAATCAAGTGAGATGAGAGAAATCGTCTTTTCTTTTATGGCCTTAACTGACCTTGGGTAACTTTACCAGATTCTTAAAATGGTTCTTGTCATCAATTCCATTCCAGGATAGTCGTAGATCACAGAACCATCTATGCCGAATCTTACACTAGTATGTGGACAACTACGTGAAGTGTCTCCACTAGTTGTATGCAAGTAGTTACACACTCAGCTGTCTCACTCTCTACACACACCCTTGTACAAGATGAAACACTAGGTTTCACAGCCTCTACACACACGCGCTAGCTCTACTTGGTGCTCAATGGCACTCCCCATATCTTAAGCAACCCTGGTTGGACCCTGTATGCTCTCACAGCTCACCAAATACATAAAAAGGGATATATTACAATTATACTCAAGCTATTACACAATATAAGAGCGGAAATACAGCTTAAAGTATCAACAACAACAATCTACACATCATTCTGCAAAATCTGTGAAGAAGGGCAAAATTGAAATTTCGTATTGTCACAAACTTGTTAAAGGTACCCTCAACCTTATATCAACATTATACAATTGCTTAAATGATATTTTCAATAGTTCAAGCAAGGTGTATCACAATCATCACTCAATAGGGGTTATCACAGCTGAAATGTAATACCCCCAATTTCCAAAGGATTTTAAAAGGATTTATTTAATTATTTTATTTTCATTTTATTTGATATGTGGCTATGTGTTTATGTGCTTATGTGTTTATGTGCTTGAATGACTTAATTGTTTAATATGAATTATGTGTTGTATTTGTGTGTATTTGTGTGAGGCGATCTATGTAATTTAATTGCGTAGTTATTTGTAATTATGTATTAGCTATATGCTTAATAATCTGTTTTATTTTATTTTAATTTTTAATTTAAAATGAATAGATTTGGGTAATAGTAATGGACCGACCAAATGGATCTCACAGACTACTTGGATAGGAAGCCTAGATGTGAAACGATTATAGCCCATGTGTGTATTTTAAATATATATGGTATATGCATATTATTATTAGTATTATTCCTTACAAGTCACGTATAAGATAAAGCAGTATGGTTATCATATAATTACTATAATTATTATATTATTTTTCTTTTCTTAATTTGTAAAGCAAAATTATAGTATAACTAGGAGTAGGGTTAGTATTATATGAGGCCTATATATATATAAATATATAAGTCTGTGAGGGACTATTACGTGGGTTTTTATAGAGAGATATATAGAGAGAGAAACAAAGAGAGTTTTGTGAGCAAAGGCCAAGGAATTGAAGGCCACACCAAGGAAAGGAAGGAAGGAGGCTGTGCATGGGGTTAGGACCAGACTAGCAAAGGAGGATGGTGGCATCCAGAGGCTGTCAGCGTTGAGCAGTTGGCCGGAGAAGGAGGAGATTGAGTTTCAATCTAAAATCTTTAAGGAAAGTTTTATATTCTACTCTTCTCTTTTGATCTAGTGTCCAGTACATGTCTAAGACAGTTTTAGGATGTTTAAGTAAGATTAATGAACCTGTATGCATGCTAAATTGGATTAAAATCAGAAAGTTACATGTTCATATATATGTTTTCATGTTTTATTTTGATCTTGAACTTTGATGCATAAATTATTGTTTAAATTGAATCTATACATGCTTAATAATCTTAAATAAATTATTAAGGGCATATGGGACTTAGAATGAAGCTTAGGACCCATAACAATGGAGTTTGGAGGAGTTACAGAGGCTGAAAAACGGAGAAGAAGACTCGTAGCAGGAACGAGTCGACTTAGTTCCAACTAAGTTGACTGAGTTACTGGAAAAAGTCAACTTAGTTAGGAATCAAATCGATTTAGTTGGTTACTAAGTCAACTAAGTTGGTCTGGAGGTTGGTTTTTGGGTTTTTGGTTTTCAGATGACATTGTAACATGTTTTATCAATTTAAATAGGTTTAATGGATTTATTAAATCCCATAATGCCTAGTATAAGATAATATGCTAGAATATGTAATTATAAAGACTCGAATTGACTAGTGTAAATTATAAGTTAGTATTCAGAGCGAGACATTTTCGTTAAGCGTTTTAGTGATATTTTTTGGCCCCTAGACCCCAAGCTTGACTAAATAATTGTTAGTATAGTGAGTTTATGGTTGTTGGGAGTTGTATTTATGATTCACGATATTAATCGGATTATTAATCATAAAAGGATAGCTTGCTGAGATTTATATTATTGTTCGTATTGTAAATTGTAGTAACCAGCATATGATTATAATTGAGGACTAGGGTATTAATCATACTGGACTAGGAGAGGTTATGAAATTTAATTAAGATGTAAGTCAATTACATGTTTTGTAAGTTAATTACATACTACTTAGAATTGTTGTACATTACTTAATTAAATGTAATGGATATTTGTATGATTATGATCATGTTTATTTCTGAATTATTTGATGTACATATATGCTTGTATCATTTATTGGATTGGGAACCATTGTCAGGATATGGTTTCGGATTTATGCACCATTTTCAAAATATAGGGGCATACTATGGATGAGCTGGCTATAAGTTTAGTTTCTTTCTTCGTGTCAGGTCACGAATTCATGTGGATGATATGCCACTGAAAGACTATAGCGGATAGTTTATTTTATTGTTCTGAATAAGATATGGATTTATATATACATGATTATGTGCCACGATATGAGCTTGAGTTATCAGGATCTTTGGTTAAGGAGCGTATATTGCCTTGGGGATGTATAGCTTGACATAGAGGATTGTGTGTTCTACCCTATATAGTCCAGTAAGAGTCATTTAGTGTGTATCCATATGTATATATACGGACTATGTAGCTATTGGATGAGTTAACTTGGATGTATTTATTCAT